TTGTCAAGTGCCCTCGTTTTTTCCAAGCTGTGCTCTTGGTCTGCCTGTTGTATCTATTCGTTGACAACTTCCTTTTGTGCATCGAGTGGCGGCACCATGTTCACCAGTGCTTGCAGCGCAGAAAAGGTTAAGCCTTTCGGGTTTCAGAGGTGGATCGGTCTCGAAATCCCGCTTGAACAACTGAGTTGGTTCATGAAACAGGTGGTGTTTCTTAGGCCTGATGTTACTTAAGCCGCTTAAGCCTGAAAGGACATTCAACTGTCGAAAGTCTGAAGAGCAGGTGTCTGAAATGAAGCAAGTTTTGAATAATGTCGGGCCGTAGATTTTTTTTTGTACCTATACAACATACAGTTACAGTTTCTTGATGTTTTTTGTAATCATACAAATATACTGCTGCAAATTCTTACACTGCTAGGAAAATTCCTTGACACTTTGAGTTTCCTGGCACCCTGGGACTTTGTGGCACAGGACAGATACGAAGTGTCAATAAGTCTGTGAAGTCTTTATATATATATAACAAACAAAGAATTTGATTGGTCAGCAAAATACCTGATCTGGAAACAAAGTCCCTTACATGCCATTACAGTCTTGATTCAATTGGTTACGGACCTTCTGCGCGAAGTTGGTGCTCTTCTTCCACGAGCAGCCGCTTTGCCATGGACTTCGCAATGACCGGAGATGCTTGCAGTGGCTGGTGCTTCAGATTGCGAAGTCCCTCCGCCTGGATCACCCAATTCCATAGAGTAAATGAGCTGTAACGTGGTCGCACCTCGCCATACATGGGACCATGACAGCGTTGTGTCAGCAACGGTTTAGTGGTTGCATGAAGAAATTGCTTCAGTGTCGGCCTGTCCAGAAGCTGAAGACGATCAAAAGCGCGCCATGCGATACACAACTCATCATTGCTGAACTCGGAGAGCGCCTCCGATGACGACTTGACGTTCAGCGTGTCACGATAAGCTCTTGGGAACGTCAACTGTTTCCGCTCATCGGGATGAAGATCTGCATCACTTAAAGCATCGAGGAGCCAGACCAACACCCGAGGAGATCCACGATCCAGCAACTCAGTACCTCGATCAGAGATCTTCATCCAAACATTGAAGTCTGCTGCACCATCCTGAGTTGTTGATAGAAGCCTTCTTGTTGGAAGGGGTCGTGTAGGAGTATCACAAGAAAAGAAAGCAAGAAATCGGAGAAGAAAAACACAAAACAGGTTTCCTGCGTCTAGGTCCCTGCCTTCTCCCTGTTTCGAATCAACGCGCTTGAATAGGCCACCAAACCAAACTCATCGCTGGCAAAGCAAGAAGCAGTCTGCGTACATCTATGTTGGCGAAGCGAATCGAAGTTGCTGGTGAAGTCCAATGGCTTCTGGCTGCAAGCTTTGCGGATTGCAGCAGCAGTCTTCTGCCGCACGACCGGAATCATGTCAATTAGATGAACAATTCCCTAGAGGGTGCAGTTTGTGCGTTTTTTGTCCCAGAAGCAAGTAATTCTGCATGCTGCACTGTAGAACAACCTGGCTTTCATGTCTCGCAAAATGCTTCCGTCCATTCGAGTCGCCATTCAAGTATACGCAAGAGCAAGCAAACTAAACAGTTTGCTGACAACCAGTGAAACCTGTCAACCTTTGTTAGAAGCTCGAGCAACAACAGCGTGCAAATTGGCAAGCACAGTTTTACGCGTGAATAACGCGATTCACATGAAAACATTTAACATGGTTTGATTGAATGACAAAATACTTGCAGTCGCAACTGCTGTTTTAATCTTTTGGCAAACGCAAACGGAAAGCTCATTGAGTGATCAATGAGAAATTGTTGCACAACCAAAGGAAAACAATGATGCGATGCCTGCCTGTCCCTTTCCACCACAGACTTCCACTCATAGGTCGTCATGCCGTCCTCCGTCACCTACAGTCTGGATTCAGGGCATATCAACTGATTCCAACATGCAAATGCATCTGCAAACTTGATAGTGCCAACTTCAATGCCCTTCATGTGGGGCTTTATGAGATTGTAAGATCATTAGACACCCTGTTTGAGCTCTTCCTTGGTGGAAAACTCGTCTTGCATGGAAAACACCAAGGTTCAAAGCGTGTCCGATTCAAAGCGGCGCACTTCAAGGTCAGGTCCAAGCTTGCTCTTTCCTCTGCAAGCCTCCAAAACACGTCGAATCAGAGAGATGCATGATGCAACGAGCAGAAATGAAACTGCCAACCTCTAGCGGCTGCAAAAAGAGAGCCCGAAACACTTCGACATATGTGCCCACGACAGGAGCCTTGGTCAAATGATTCGCAAGGATCCGAAGCTGTTCCACCCCATCTGAATTTAAATCGATGTTGATTCTAATTAGATTCTAATTCTATTGAATTCTTGTGTCTAATAGCAAACATTGTTCCTAGTAGTAAGGCCAGGGAGCCCCTAGTAGCGTCCTTGCTCCTAGTAGCGATGCCCTTTGCTCCTAGTAGCGAACCTTGTTCCTAGTAGCGATGCCTGTCGATGTTGCACGGAATGCTTATCACACTGTATCGTCTTCTTTCTGATTTTGCAGCCTATCGCGAGTCTGGCGGAAACTCTATACAATGATGGTGATGTGTAATTTGATATGCGGGAACCCAACGTTCGCACGAATCTAGCAGCCTGCCTGTCCCTTGAATTACTGTACTTGTTCAAGCAAGTTCAAGCATTTTCTCGTGAGGTGTTCATGTGTGTTTGTGTGTGTGTCCTGCAGCTTGGTAGGAAGAATTCTGGGATCTGCATGTGCAGCTACTGGGAGCGAGGACATCGCAAGGACAAGGATCGACCTGCAAGAAAATGCAAAAAGCAGCTTGCTCACAGAACTAGGCAGTAACATCGACGTCAAGGTCACCTGTCCCGTGGAATTGCTACTGTAACTGCCGCCTGGTCAGCAGTCGGACCAGCTGGCATGACGTTGATGCAACCCAGCCTGTGGCGGAAAGGAGTGGAAGGAGCCAGGGAATGGGAGGCAGTGGGAGAAGGAATGAGAAAATCGAAAAAAAACATATAGAGAGAAAAGAGGAGTCAAATTCATTGGGAAACAAGACGAAACAAAACGGCGCCAATGCACGCCGCTTCAGGAACTATCCAAGAATCACATTGTAAGCATTTATATATAGTGTTTTTCTCTTGCAAGATTCTGCCCTCATGCATGTCACATATCATGCAACGCTGTGCCTGCTCTCTTGCTGGCCATAGTCCTCCTCCTTGTGTGTGTGTGTGTGTCAACGAAAGGACAGTTATCTACAGTACTTACATGTGGTTGGAAAGCAGAGCGATGTTCCAACAGCAGAAGAATTTGACGAGTTCAATCAAAGGTCTGCCAGGAATGCGCGCCTGATGGTTGCCTTGCGAATGCGGAACGGATTCGTAGCTTCTGGGGATGGGTCGATTGAATGCTTTTGACCGTCTCAATGCATGCGTGCTCATTCTGTTATGTCTTAGCTGCCGCTCTCACCGCTGATAATCATAAAAATCGATGTGAGCTTAGGCCGATCCTGGGTTGACTCTAAAAAGCAAGGGTGGTTGGGTGTCTGGGAGAAAAAACAACTAAAGAAGAAGAAGAAGAAGGAAAAGAAGAAGAAGAAGACATGAAAGACACATTTTATTTACTTCATTTCGACTTGGAATGACGTTGATCATCACCTGGATCAACCTTGATCCCTATCAGGACATGGTTCATTCAATCGCTGCATACCTGCTGCCTCCGGACCCAAAGGCGAAAGGAGGCTGTAAAGGAGGAGCAGAGCGACTAGAGCGGCCTTCGGCTTTCAGTGTCTCACAGGAGAATCAGTCTTCAGCTGGAAGTATACAGTTTGGAGGCCAAGTAATTGGACTGCCCCTTCGCAGTCTCCTTGCCTATCCTCCGGTTGCACGTCACCATCCAGCATAGAGGATTCTGACTTGACTCAATTCTAGAAGTGATGAGGAGACTCAGTTGTATTACACTACTTGCGCTTGAACAAGTTTGGAAACTTCGGGAAGCCAGCCGCGACCGCCTTTTACTAAAAATACGGCATCAACACCGAGCCCCGTGGGGCTGTGGCTTGAGTAACGGGCGGCTGCCCGTGAAACGGAATCGATAAACTGGACACGTGGTTTCACTTTCCGACCAGAGTCCACCTGTCTGCTGAACTGGAAGTGTCAAGGTCTAGCATACTCTAGAACCTGGTTCTACGTCCAGGTGAGGGGCGGTTCTGTGGCCAGGTTGAAAACACTGGTCTAAGAACAGGGTGAGACAGTACGGCAGGCTGGCAGGTCAGAACATCAAAAATCCGCAGCCCAGTCATCCTCATCAGGGGTCAAAAAGGTTCCAGGAGCTGACCATGCTGTGAAGAGGGCACAGGCCCGCCTGCGCACTGCTTTTGACAAAGAGCTTGTTCCTTCCCTCAGACCTGGGTGCCAGGGTAAAAAAGACCCAATCAGCGTCTGCGTTCCCACTGAGTCTCGCACATGCTTTCTCGCGAGGCCTGAGAGAAAGAATCTGGCCATACCATGCGTGAAGGTATTTAGAAGGACAGGTTCAATATTGGATACCTTGCTGTGATATGCTTCAATCAAACACAATAGAAAATCCTTCAAATAGTGCCTCACCATGAAATGAGGACGAACAACTGAGGGTATCGATTCTTCGATCATCTAGACAAACCTACTGGACAACTTAGCACTTTTTCCTGTTTCCTTACCTCAAAGCCTCGTGACCAAAAGGAGTTCCTAAATTGTTCTCACTTGATTGATCCAATTGTTCATAGTACACATTGTACAGCTACCCCAGTCTAGAACCAGCTCACCCAACCACACATTTCCTGGTTTACTGTAGTTCAAACGTACTACGAGTATATAGTTTATGTCAGCCTGCGCAGGCTTGGGCACCGGTTCTTCTGAATATGTCCTGGCAAAACGGGATCTCAAGTGTCCGGCCTTTCAGTTCTGAGTGTTTTTCACGATGCTGATGCATATGATTGAAGTAACTCAAATCAGACAGAGTCACGCAGCTGGAGGCTGGTATGGAGGTGACATTTGCCGGGCCTCACTTCTTGTGAAAGCTCAGAAAAATCCTACTTGTACCAAAACTGCTGCTGGGTATCTTGCCACCAAGCGCTCCCAGGAGAAGGTGCCAGATTTGAACCAGCCACTATTCTTCACCTTTTTCCGAGTAAAAGATCGTTCAAACCAAAACGCATGCAGGATGTGCCTCGCCTCCTCCACTCCATGTGCACCTAGTCTTCTCTCGGGCTTGACAACGACGAGCCTGGCAACTGGCAGCAGAACGACATCAGAACTTATAGAGATCAATGAAACTTGCATTCACAGGGCAGCTTCGGTATGTTAGTTGGAGCTTCGGTATGTCGCACAGGGCAGTGCGGCTTCTTGATAAAGTCCCTCGCAAGGATCAGCGAGGGAGGCCTCAGTCAGGTCATGCTTCTGTGCTGATTTGCGAAGAAATCAGCATAGGAGGATCTTTGTTGGGGGGGTAGCCCGGTAAAAGGACAGCTTACATGATTGATTTGGTTCCTAGACTTGGGGCGCAACATAACAATCCTGTGACATCCTGTGAACTTCTGTGAACTCACATTTACAGCGAAAACATCAAGTTTGCCACAGGAAGCCGTCTGGCAAGCCCTGATTTTGGCCTTGGACAGGTAGGCAATGGACATCATCCATCTGTTCATATCTTTTCCTAATCAGCAATTGCATGCCGACTGACCAAAATGATGTCAACAATTCCTTTTATTTGCTGAACTTATGTTTCTGTTTGTCAGCATCCTAGGCCAATCAATGCCGGCTTTGGTGGGGCACAGGCTTTCTCGCAGTGCTAGTAGCTGCCTGGCTGGTGTGCGGCCCAGTGCCTTCTCACATCTTCTCACGAACGCGCCAGGCACACCCCATGGGGTTGTCATCGTAGCCCATGTTGTCCCAGGGAGCCTTGCATGTTGACTTGATGCGACTAATTGACGAATGCTTGCGCTGTCAAACATATGCTTCCAGCCTGCCCACTGAGCATCTCGAAAACCAAGACCTTCCATGCGCTCTCACCATCTGACCCGTCTGAGACCCGTCAATGAGAGAATAGAGTTAAGTTTCTCTGCAGCATCCTGCCGATAGCTTCCTGTAGCCTACCTTACCTTCTCCGCCACCCGTCAATTTCAAGAAAGGTATATAATAAACTTAAACATATAAGATGTTTCATTGTTGTTCATCCTTGTCCATCGTGATTCATCTGATCTCTGAGTTTTCTGTTTGGGGATTTTCCTTCACGACGGACTGAGGTTGTGGCCCCAAGAGCCCACCAGTCCACCTAGAGCCGCACGCCGGGCACGCCGCACCCATCACATGCGACACCGACGGTGTGGTCTCTGCATTTCACAGAATCACTGAGACTCCCAGCCATGTGGTTGTGACCATGTGGAGGATCCTTTGTACAATACGCATGTCTGATCATGTCTGCCATCCACAGTGCTTGCAGTTAGGTTGGGGGTCATCGCTATTAGGTTGGAGACCATTGCTATTAGGCTACTATTAGGCATGTTTGCTTCGCCACTACATTCAACTGCATGGACCAAATCGCAGGTAAGTCATCACCCAGAAACTGGCATTGTGCATGGACCAGCGGCTACTTAGATTGAGAGAAAAAGGAAAGTAAAGAACCCCCTAAAGGAGGCCTTATTAAAGGGGACCTCACTCTCACGTTCTTTTTTCTTCACTGAGTTGTCTGAGGTCCACACTATCATCTCGGGAGCCATATATTCTGGAGTTCCCAGGAGAGTGTGGGTTTTGCCTGTGGACACCACTTCGAAGAAGACCAAACGAATACATAACTGTATCATTATCTGTTTTCCATTGCCATGCAACATTAAAGTTATCACCAACCCATCGCTAAGAAAACAAATCGTCAGCCGGGAAAGAATAGGCTTTCTCTCCAATCAATTCTTCGAGCACCAGACTCAAAACAAAGCGTGCAAAGCCCATATCACAAAGCTTGGCATAGCCAGTGCTGTCCAAAAGCACCTTGGATCAGTCAGTCAGGTTCAGCCTTTCCTCTTTACCACTGCCATTCGGCCCTGCTGGGCCCTGGACATTCTCAAGCTTCAAGTCCCTGTAGGCGATGCGCCGCTCGTGCAAATATTCAAAGGCCTCACTGATGCGAGCGATGCGAGCGATGTACTCATGCATATGCTTCAAGTATGCGCTTTGGAGAACCAAAGTAGCCCTGCTTGTTGTAAGTCGTGGACCAAAATGACACAGCTACTGTAAAACATGGCCGCATAGCCTTGCCGACAGTGCAAACACCAGTGGTTGTCACGGCAGAAAGGTCTGATTTTGTTATCCAAGGTCAGCTAGCTGAAACCATCAGGCATTATATAATACTCGTGAACACATGAGTCTTGACTTGTTCGAAAACGCAAAACTGTCGAAGCTGGCCACCGCACCTCGAGGCTTGTCAGAAAGCAAGACCTGACAGGGTTGCGGTGCTACAAATGCTCTAAAGCGCTTTGAATCAATAATTGTGCACTTAGCAAGGAACCTACTATATCATGAGAGCTTTGACTCAAAAACCAGTGACCAAGCGGAACATGTAACATGTCACTGATTGTCACAGCATTGATTTCCAAATTGGGGCACTGGTCGCTCTTCCACAAATGGCCTGCGGCTTGTCGCAAAGCAGCTGGTACAGGTGTCCACCAGGCACCAGCTCTATTAGCATGTAGACCTTGGGATCAGTCCGACGCAGCAGCTAGACCATCTCCAATCGACACGCTGATCTAAGTCTACTCTAAATAAACAGGCAAAGGCTTGTCACAAGGACTTTTGGTGAAGTGGGTGACCCAGCATATTCAGTGTCCTGGTAGGAGCCGTAGAAGCCTTGGCCAGTCAAAATAACTGCACAACTTAATGGAAGCAAATGCCTTGTATGACTGAAATGCAACCTGAGACCGTGGTAGGCAGCGCACGAGTTATGCAATCACAATCCATCCTGCGACGGAGCGAACGACCCGTCCACAGACTTGCTCAAAAGGGACATCAAAGCACCAGGAACTTGAAGTAAACTTGCCAGGTGGATATTTCATGATTCATGATATTTGCATACATTTAAAGATATCTATGAAAAGTACAAGTGAAATACTGCTGGCCAAAAATGAGGTGCTGGCATTGAAAGGATATCGCGTTCTGCACAAACCTGCTTCTCTGCATTGGCCTGAGAGGAACGGGGTGTTATATAATGGAAGGAAGCTTCACTGTATTCTTGGCACCACACCTGGACAATGTAGCCTTTCGAAAGTCGCTTGAGCGCATACTCAATGCCTTCGGCCGGCTCATTGGACTTTACAGTGAGGCACTTGGCTCCGGAGTGAGATGCAACAAAATGGGGTCTACAGCCTGAGTTGTCTTCTTTTGTGCTGCATAACCGCCCGGAGGATCATAGTCATCCCCATGTTTTGTTTGAATGTCAGGGATGTTGTCAACCAATAGGGAAATGGACTCATCTGGCATTGCCACATGCTCTATCTACTTGAAGATGACTATACTTGTGTTTTTGAAGTTCGTTTGACCCGATTCTAAAGGCTCTCGTCATCAGCACCACCAAGCTTCCCAATGAAGTTATAGAGTTGAAGGTTGCTTCGCCCATCTTTTGCCTACTGTGACACGTTTGTGCACAACATGTTCATCTTCTAAAAAGGGGTGGGTAAATAGGGTCACAAACCGGTCCTGTTACAACATTCTGATCTAATCTTCATCTTCTTCTAAAATTACTTCCCCTTGCCTGCGAAATTCACCATGCAGGCCTGGCCTGGCTTGTTTTTCCTGTGGCAAAGATACACAGCGCCAAAGCCACCTTCGCCCAGCACATGCATTCGCCTGACGTTCGGCTGTTTCCCAAAAGGATCAAACAACGGGTTGCCATGGTGTCTTGAAAAGGAATGCCTTGCTTATTCAGAAAGCTAAAGAGTTCTAGTTAATGAGCAAACTGAAGATCAAGGTCTTTCTTCGCTGTCACCAAAGTCAAATGACCAAGCTCGGCTTTGTCTCCAGTAAGACCCCGGCTCGAGTTCGTCAAAAGGGATCTCCTCTCGTTGAGGTCGAACTGCTGCAGAGGACCTGCGACGTCAACTCCAAGTTCCAAGTGTCTATTCATAGCAAAATTGAAAACTTTGACTCGACAGCAATGCCGGTTGAAAACGATAAAAAAAGAAGTTGGAAAAGAAAAAGCAGGAGTATCTGCCATGTGCCCAAGGTACTTTCTGTGGTACTCCACAAGCGACTGCTCCGTGCCAGGCCTCTTCAGGGGATTTATGATGAGGAGGAAGGAAGAGAAGAAACTCCCAAATCTTATGATTTCTATTCTTCGACTCATTGAGCGCCCAGCACTCCGAAGTCGGTTTCTTCGCCAGTGACCTTGTGCTGTCGCTGAGAAAAAACTATTTCAGGGCCTGGAAGAATAAGGAATCGTTATATAGTGATAGTGATGGACACACACTCTATGCAGAAGTCATCCAGGTACTCAGGTTTTCTATTTACAGTATATACAGAACCCCCACCCACACCTCTCTGTGCAAAGCATTGTTTAATCTGAAGTCAGGTTCACGACCAAGCCAAATTTGGTGCTAGATCCGGCGCGACAACTTTGAGAGTCTATCCTAGCATTCGTGGTGGATGGGGCGGGCCTTGCGAGAAAGCCATGCCCGAGTGCTGGAGGTTCTTTCCCCAGCACAAAAAGTTCGGGGTTCTTCAGCCATAGTAAAGACTTTGGAGTAGATCGCAGCAGGAGCAGGTTCCGGAGCAGGTTCTAGAGCAGGTTTGGGAGCAGATTCCAGAGAAGGTTTGGGAGCAGGTTCTGGAGCAGGTTGCGGGGAAGGTTGCGGAGCATCCGATGCAGGTTATGTGCCAATGTGATATGCCGGACTATGCCAGCATATTGTCACGCCGACATGTTGTCAGGCTGTCAAGCTGACATCATGCTGGCCCACTGACACGGGTCATGCTGTCGTGCTGATATGCTGGCAGGCTCCAGAGCGGATTCCAGAGCAGGTTCCCTGGTTGTTGCTTGTTGCGGTGATGTCATGCCCCCACATATGAGGGCATATGTGCTATGCCAACATATTGCCGTGTCGTGATGCTCGCAGGGCGCAATGAAAAGGCTCACATGTTTCAAAGCAGCATTGTCTGGCAAAGACACAACACGTGTTGGTGAAAGTGCGATGTTGCTATTGCAGCTCTTAGGTATTTCTTGGGCTTATTGTTTTCCACAAGAAAGCATGCACTAATGTCGTCCAATACACTCTATCAGGAATAGACTTCGAACAAACGGTCGCCCATACACGCTGAGAGATCCCGACACCCAGAGGCAAGTTTCGCAGGAGCTCACCGTCAAGAACCAGGCAAGTCCTTGGCACAAAAACGGTTCGAACACAGTCCTTGGCATGTCATTTTTGCTAAGCAATGACAAGCAAATGGCCCCAAGTACGTTTTGCTTCGCATTCCAATGAATGCACTAGCAGACCCTGGCCCTATGCTGCTGATGACTTTCGATCATCAGCTTTGAATCAAAAGCACCAGCCACCGCTTAAGCACCCCCTTTGGGGTCCATGGCCGGGTTTACTGTGTTGACACCAAGGCGATCAAAAGCCCGATGTGGAGGGCCCTGTGGACCAAGGACCAGCGCAGATACGCCCGGAAAACACTGCTCAGGAGCGCTCGAAAAATGCAGCTGTCAAGAGGTAGCACAAGTGTACTTCTAGTGAGGTAAAGATAATCAAATCAACTTACTCCCTTTTCGTGGCTCTAGTGGTGTGGCATGGAAGAATATCTTGCTACCTTGGGCAACAAGTCCAGTCTTACTGCGAGAAGTCCAGTCTTCGCTGCATCAAATTGCGCCGACTCTGAAGCCGTCTGAAAATCTTTCATCAGCGCCGTCTCTGCCACTCAAAGGCCCACTTGCAAGTCTCCATGCCGGCCATCATTGTTGCCGTACCTAGGACAGTCGTGCATAACGTTCTAAACCTACAGAGCTGAGAGTGAAAATCGCAACCTCATGAAATATCCTGAAATCACGAGAATAGTCTTCCCAGGGCTGTTGACCTTCCAGAGGGTGTCATTAGTTTTGGACCCACAGCTGTATTAGTATATATATATATTATATACAGTATATAGTATATATTGTAGACTTGTACACAAACATACTATAGCTCTTCCGACGTGAAGGGATACACTCGTCTTTCGGGGGGGTTGGACCAAAGAAAAAAGGCTGCAAAGCAAAAGGTCACGCAACCCAATGGAATCCGCAGAAGCCTGGGTCCGAGTCCACTGAAGCCAGCGACTGGATTGGCCATCAGGTATTGAAAGATATCCTGGTGGTGAGACTTGCATGTTTGCTTGGCCGTGGAATAAAATGAATGATCTCAGCTCCTAAAATATACTGAGATACAGTTTATGCTCATGTTTGGCACTCAGCATGCAGCTCTGTACGACCCTGAAGTTGGTCCAGTCCTGGGTGCAATTCTTAACTTCAAAAATGAAAAAGAAACGTCACAATCATAACATCCATTATCTTTGAATATTGAGGCATTCGCAAGACGATTGCTCAGCATCGTGCTTTTGCCGCAGAGTTTTAACCACATCCACAGGGCAAGTCACAAACGCAGCCACTAGTCCTGCAAGCGCAACAGCTACAGTCTTTGTGCAGGTTTGGGCTGGCATCGGTACTGGTATCGGTGCAGTCTGGCCCCATGGGCTGTTAATGTCTTGGCAGTTGAAATTCCGTTTGAAAAGTGCTGACATGTATAAGTGTTCTTTGAAAGAGTGACAGAGTTTTCTAGTTGTGTCATCAGTAGAGTAGCTCTCCTGCACTGCCGCCGCACACGAATGAATGTAAAAGAGTTCTCAAGCCAGTACTGGAGACGATCTCCGGTTCGGGAAGCTTCTCTTTCACAAACTCGTAGGCAAACCTGGGCTTTCGGACGGTCGTGTGACTGAGGTCGCTGTGTCCTCATCATGTCGAGTGTTTGTACACCTTTGTGTCCAATGCTGTAAGTACTGCGGCTCCGCAACCAATAAATAGCACTAAATGGCACATCTCTCAGCAATGTCATGGAATACCCTTGCATCCACGAACCTTAATATCAGCAAATGCTGAACTCGGCGTCAAAATGTGTCAAAACTGTCAAAAAATACAACCATGCAATGAGGTCGTTCGATGCAAGTGCTTATTCACAGGTTACAGTGCCATGTTAGGTGGAATACCTGACAGCGCAAGAATCATGCCAAAGGCTCAGAATCTAAGTATCTGAAGGGGTCAAAAAGGCAGCGCCAGTGAAGTTGCAGTGCCAGGTGGCTGATCGGCTTGTGTCGCTGCTCCTTTAGCAAAGTTCTCAGGCGAAGGTTGCCTGCAACTTTTGGAGGGCACAACGGAAGAAACAAGTAATGTGCACATCCATATTCCTCGAGGATGTCTGCGAAAAATTGCAATGCTGTGAACTCAAGGAGGTGGTCATGTGTGAATGTAACAATTATGCCAGCAAAGACTCCAAACAGTTTCATTGTTTGGCGTCAAAACCTTGAATTCTAACGTTGGTGGTAATTTGTGTAAAAATGTGTAAAAAACAACAGTCCTGATTCTCGGGTCACGTGTGCAAAAACGAAGGGCTTTATGTCATGAGAAAATCCGAGGATGATATCAAATGTGAAACACTGCAGCACTGTTGCATTCATAGCCACACGAAAACATACCCGGACAAGGCGGTGGAGTAGACAAAGCCCTCACAAGGCGGAGAAGAAAGGCCTACGGCAAGCGCGGCCAAGCAGGGCACACAAGGCAACGCAGGGCCCACAGAAGCGCAGCGGACAAGGCCTCGACAAGCCCCGGACAAGGCGGAAAAGAAAGCCTACGGCGTGGCCAAGCCGGACACACAGACCCAGACAAGGCCTGGACAAGGCCGGACAAGGCGGAGAACACAGGGCCCACGGCACGGCCACAGCTATCGTGGCCAGCTCTTTTTTCATAAGAGAGAACCCAAACAGTAAACTGTTTGGGGAAGAATACAGTTACACCACCATAGACCCCCAAACAGTCTGTGTTTTTCAAAATCGAAACTAGAGCTTGCGACGTCCAAAGCTGGGAGACAAAGGATTGCAAGGCAGAGGCGGCCACAGCAGCCCAGAGCTGGGAGACGAATGTAAAGGATTGCAAGGCAGAGACGGACACAGCAGTATAGAGCGGGCGGACACATCTTAAGAAAGAATTGAGAAGCCCTACAGGCCCTAACAGTAAGCCTTTTGGGGAATTATTCTTCAAGTGCGAACATGATGCTGGTCATGCTGCTCAATCAGCGGGGAGTTGACCGCGTGAGGACAAGAAATAAAAGCATGAGGAGCGAAGGATGTGACATGAAATTGATTTTTGGTGCCTGACGTATGCCCTCCGTCCCAACTGAACAGAGAGATGGCTGCCACGCCGCCGAAATCCAATCCGGTCATTCATCCAACGCTTGCCCGAAAAGGAAAACAAAGCTGAGTGTTACACAGTGTGGCAGGAATGCAATCCCGGAGACAGTCACGCAACAGGTGAACCTGTTCCAGCGGACAGGGCAGAAAACAGCAGTGCAGGGACCAAACCTGAAAGACAAAAAGAAAGAAATCACATGGGAGACAAATGAATAGAAATGCTACATGGCCAGCGGAAAAGGGCGGCAGCACCAGTGACAGACCCGGGAAACAAATGAATAGACATGCTGCATGGCCAGCGGAAAAGGGCGGACACCAGCAGTGACAGAGCTGGGAAACAAATGAATAGAAATGTTGCATCGCCGGCGGAAAACGACGGACACCAACAGTGACAGACCTGGGAGACACATGAATAGAAATGCTGCATGGCCAGCGGAAAACGGACGGACACCAGCAGTGACAGACCTGGGAGAAACATGAATAATTAGAAATGCTACATGGTCAGTGCAAACACCAGCAGTGACACATCTTAAGAAAGAATTGGGAACCCCTAACAGTAAACTGTTTGGGGCAAAAGTTGGAGACAAATGCAAGGAAGTGGGAGACAAGCGGGCCGGAAACAAGCACCCAGCCTGGGAGACAAATGAAAAGAAGTGGGAAACAAATAAAAGGACGTGGGAGACAAGCCAGCCGGGAACCCGACCACAAGCACCCAGCCTAAAGGAAGCGGGAGACCGGCCGGGAACCCAGCCTGGGAGACAAATGAAAAGAAGTGGGAGACAAATGAGTCGAAGTGGGAGACAAGCCGGCCGGGAACCCGACCACAAGCACCGAGCCTGGGAGACAAATGAAAGGAAGTGGGAGACAAGCCAGCCGGGAACCC